AAGGCGGTTTGTGGTTTCGTCTGCCCTGCACGCAGGAGCCGGAGGCGTCAGCATTTACTTGCTGAGAGTGCAAAAAATAAAAAGGAAAAAAAAAAACAAAACAGGGTTAGTAGCACGGGGAAGTCCGGGGAAAGGCAGTGCCGGCAGAGCCACTGGGCCTCTGCTGCAGCCGCCGGCGTACGGCTCAGCCTCCTTGCTGCTGCTTTTAGCCCCGATCGCATTTTGCAAGGGATTTCACTAAAATTACACTTGCAGCACCGGCACGCGTGGGAAGAAACCACGCTGATGCCGACTGGAGATAACGCACCGGGGCGCACGGCCAGGGCGGCACATGGCTGCATTTCGGCACGTTCTCCTGCACGACCTCCGCCAGCTGAGGGTGGGATGGGATTTACGGCTCTTCCCAGCGCTCCGAGGATGGGGACGGCTGTGGTGGCATCATTCCCATGGCACAGGGTCCCGGCCGGCTGTGTGCATGCAGGACCCCCCACCACGGTGCCCACTGCCGCCATACCCATGGGTGTACGGCACCGCACGTCCAGGGCGTCTCAGCTGCCAGCGGAGCCACGAGGTGGCACCAGCCCCGCGTCCCCAGGGTGCTTCTCCACCTCCCAACAGAGCAAATCCATCTTTCCCTCCCCGCCACGCATCACCCCGCGGGCCCCTGCATCGCCAGCAGCCTCCATCCTTGCTCTGCAGCACCCCAAATCCCTGGGGATCAGCTGGAGGCCGAGGATCCGGCATCCTGCCGGCCCCAGAAACCCAGCCGGAGAGATCAGATTTAGGGATTTTACTGGGATTTGGGCGACACGGGGCTCGCCATCGGAGTGCACCAGGCCAGCCACGTGTGGAGGAAGTATTCAGTTACCAGCTCAGCGCGAGCGCGCACTCGGGTTTCAGCCCCGGCCCCTGTTTACAGTCTGTTTTTGGGGCCGGAGTGGTGAAGGAAGCAGCACCAGGGTCACGGCTCGGCATGGTTGGGCGGCGGCGGTAAACACATTGCCCGGCTCAGGGCCAGTGCCGCCACCGGTTAATCATTCCTGTTCGTGGAACAGGTTCATGCCGGGACATCCAGTCCTGATTGCTGCATTAAAAACACCCCGAGGATGGGGGGGGGGACAGGAGAGCCCCCATCGCCCCCGTGGGGTCACCCTCCAGGGATCCAGCCCACCCACGGTGCCACTCACACACACACCCCCCCCCGACGCCTGTGGGGACAGCCCCGTCCCCACCGACGGTCCACGCATCGTTTACCACACATGTCCCAAGTTGGTCGGTGCTCTGCTGGGAACATGGTGCCACCCAGAGTCCACAGGCAACGTGCCAGGGAAAACTAATTAAGCCGGCCCCGCCAATTAGTGTGAGCGAGTGACTAAGGACTTTCTAATTAGTTTAAATTTCACAGGACTGTTTTCCAAATGAGTCTGCGGGAGCCGCTCTCAGCCCAGTGACCCAAGGACAGCCGCCAGGCCAGCTTTTGCAGCCAGGACGTGACCTTCTCCACTCCTCGTCTGGATCCGACCCTGCGCAGGACCCAGACGTGCCGCAGGGCATCAGTTACGCCCGGTGAGAGCCGCTGCCACCCGCAGCCTGAGAACGGGCAACTCATTACACCAAACGGGGAACTCTTTCTAGCGCAGCTCCGGGGTAAGCAGCAAAAAGCCACCGCGATGGGGAAAATACAGCTCAGCCCAGCGCACATGGATGGCGGGAGCGTGGCTGGACCAGCGTCGATCCCAAAGACAGCCCGAGCCGTGGGGTCCCCCCGGCTTTGGTGTCTTCCCAGGCGAACGGAGCGGAACAGCCCCAGCCATCCGTACACGTGTACCCCGACACCTTTACAAGCAGCTAATTTAAGACCCGCTGCCTTTTATTTTTAGAGGAGGAACATCTGATTATGTCCTGCAATGCCTTTTTATATTGCCTGATACGCTGACTATTTCTGTACGGCTGTTTACAGCCGCCGGTGCCACCGCTGCCCAAATGCCGTGGGTGAAGGTGCCGGCAGCCAAGGCGAGCGCTGAGCATCCCTGCCCTAAAGGGGAAAAACCTCCCCCTATTCCCTCCCTATTCCGCAGGGTCCTGGCGCTGTGTCCCCAAAAGCAAATGGCACCGGGAACACGCACGGGTGGATTTACCCCGTGCCGCCTCCGCTTGCTCTTGCTAAGCAGAAAATTCAGCCCTGCATCCTGATAAAGCACGCGGTGCAGCCAGCCGGAGCTGCGGGAAGATGCTCGGAGCCTGGAGATTTGCTCTGGGCTCCCTGATTTTGGAGGATGCAAGCTCAGGCCGGTATCTGAGGAAAACCATAAAGCAGCTGGAGGGGTTTGCTACGGCCCCATAACCATCAGCTCTTGGCGGGTCCGAGCCCCCGGGGGAGGCAAGGTCCATCCCTGCGGGTCTGGGCTGGGATTTTCCTCCCCGATCGAGGAGTTTAACCTGTTTCCCAGCCTCAGGAAAACGCAGCCATGCAGAGCAACAGCCTGGTTTTAGCACAAGCAGTGGAGAAGGCTGCAACTCTGCAGCCCCTTCCCTCGTCCGTCCTTCCCTTGTCCGTCCATCCCTCTTGCAGCCCCTTCCCTGCACCCAGCACCCTTTCTCCCTCCCCGGTCCCCAGCCCAGAGGGGAGCTGATGCCAGCGAGGTGTTTGAGCCCAGCCCGACCACCAGCCGTGGCAGGGAGGAGAATTATTTTCTGGGCAAAAAGCCACTGCTGCCACCACCTACACAATGCCACCCGCTCCCGGGGGATTAGGTGACCATTCAGGATCTGCTTTGACTTAATCTCTAAGCAAACAAATCGATCCCTAGCTTATTTTTTTTTTATTCTTTAAGCAGAATTCAAGGGCTGCATCGCACCCAGGGACAGGCAGCTCATTCCGCACCCCGGCACTGCGAAACCCCCGGGGCTGGGATGCCCGGTGGATCCCCGGGGTGGAAAAATCTCTCTTGCAGCTGGGGAATTTTTGCTTTTCCTCTTTAAGCAAAGCTTTTGGGGTTCTTCCCCCCCAAAACCCCACCCCAAGCATCGCTGGCGCAGGCATCCCAGCTGTGCCCGTGCAGCAGGGAAGGGGCTGCAGGGACCACAGCTGGACAGATGACCACAGCTGGACAGACAGCCACCAGCCACAGCTGGACTCAGCTTGTTTTGAAAGTCACGGGTATTTCGGTGCCGGCATTTCGCAACCGTACGGGTGTCACAACAACAACAACAACTGCAGTTTTACTTTGCAAACAGGGCCCGCGGCCTCCCAGCACCCCGGCTCTTTCCTGCTCGCGTCAGGCTGAGCTCGCCTGCTGCAACAGCCTCACCCGGGCAAGCGTTATTTCCAAACCCGAGAATAGAAAATGACTTGAAGCAACATCAAAATTGAATATTTAATGTGTTTTTTTCCCCACTAAGAGGGGCTCAGAGCTGCCCCATCCCCTGCAGGGCTATGCTTGGTGCTCAGACCACTGCAAAATCCCACCAGGATGCCGCATGCCCCAGCACGCGAGCCAGGAGGAGCGGTTAGAAGCCATCTTCTCCCTCTGCCATGCGAGAAACGCCCGGGTGATGGGAGGAAATATTTTCTTTCTGCAGTTTTAATGTTTTCGGGTGGCTGCTCTCAGGGCTGGCAGCGCCGGGGGCAGCTCAGCCTCTGGCACGGCCAAAGCTTTCCAGGCTTTGGCAGCAGCCTGGCACAGCAAAGCCACAGCTATTGAATTTTTTTTTGTTTTCCAACCAAAACCTTATAGTAATAATAAAAGAAATCATAAAACAAGGGTGTTGGGAGCCAGGCAGCCACCTCCCTGTCCTTTGCCGGCTGTCGGGTAATCTGGAGGGAAAGGACACGGCGCCCTTATCGGCACACACATTCCCCTGCCCGCCTGGCAGCGGAGCCGTCCAGAGGTTTGCGGCATAAACATATTTTGCTTGAGCAGGCGGCTGGGGTTGAACTAAGGA